GTTTAGGGTTTGGGGTTTGGCGTTTGGGGTTTGGGGTTTAGGGTTTAGGGTTTAGGTTTTTAGGGTTTGGGGTTTGGGGTTTAGGGCTTTGGGTTTAGGGTTTATGACGGACAGCTCTGGCGATCCTCACCCGCTAGAAAGCTGTACGGGCGATACGAGTCTTGCCAAACACGCAGTGCCGCGCAGCGCATTTTCTTGGGGCCCCTGGTGGGCTAAACCCTAAACCCTAAAACCTAAACCCTAAACCCTAAACCCTAAAACCCTAAACCCTATAAAACCCTAAACCCTAAGCCCTAAAACCCTAAAACCCTAAACCCTAAAACCCTAAACCCTATAAAACCCTATAAAACCCTAAACCCTAAAACCCTAAACCCTATAAAACCTTACGCCACAGCGGCGGCGGCGGAGTCGAGCTCAATTGTCTGGCGATCAATGCCCTCGCAGCGCAGTGCCCAGTCGGTGCTGCAGAGGTGCTTGAGGCGCTTGCTGGTTTAGGGTTTAGGGTTCAGGGTTTAGGAGCGTTTTGGGCGTGGGCCTTGGGGTATTCGTCATGCGGATCGCGCGATTGCATGCGGCCCAGCGCATTCCGCGTCATGGGCACGGTTCCGATAAATATCTGGAACTCTGGCACGCCTTCCAGATGTTCTTGGGCGCCGATGCGCGGAGAGTCCTCCGACCCTATCTGGGGGCAAACTGTACACCCCGCAGCTCAACAGTGGCTGTTGTTTAACTTCGGGCCTAAAGGGCTTTGGGGCTACATAACATGCATACCCCATACTTACGCACTAATCCTAAATCCTGCACCCTATGCTCGAAACCCAAGGTAAACTGTCAAGCGTATAGGATTTGGGGTTTTGGGTTTCCAGCAGAAGCTACCAGACGAGAAGCAGGATCCCCGGAGTAGTTTTTTCGAGGTTTCGTCGGTTTGGGTGTTCGAAGAGTTTCGTCACACGGCTTCCTATCTACTTAATCCCGGCTTCTTATGTACTTAAAATCCCAGCAGCTTCAGGCTATTTGTGAAGGTAAGCAGGTGCCCCTCTTGATTCAAGGTTGTTGGGGAGCGCGGCCAGTGAAAGTTTATGTTTGAGGACTTCAACAAGATACCGGAGGCGCTGAAAGCTACATACCCTGAGCCCTAAACCTAAGCCCCAAAATCAAAATACCTGAAACCCTACCAATTGTATTGTTCCCTCTAAACCGTAAACCAAAAACCTGAAGCCCTCAGCCCAAACTAACCCTAAACCCTAAACCCTAAACCCTAAACCCTAAACCCTAAACCCTAAACCCTAAACCTAAACTTGTCCACAGAACCTCCAAGCCTAATTCCGAAGCCCTGACGCAAACCCTAACACCCAGAGCCTCAACCATCCCTAAACCCGGGTTTAGGGTTTAGGGTTTAGGGTTTAGGGTTTAGGGTTTAGGGTTTAGGGCCTTCATAATTACCTATATTAATTTGGAGGGGTTCCTGTTTATAGTTGTAGTATCATATACCCCAACACCCTATTCTAATTTTGAGGGCCCCTATATTACGGTCGTCAGCCCAAGACCCCCAAAGCCTTCAACCCACATGCGCCACCACAAACCCCTAAACCCTAAACCACTAAACCCCTAAACCCTAAACCCGGGTTTAGGGTTTAGGGCTTAGGGTGTGCCTAGGGTTTAGGGTCTAGGGTTTAGGGCTTGGGGTCTAGTTGGGGTGTAGGGTTCTGGGTTTAGGTTGGGGCTAAGGGCTGTGGGTTTAGGTCCTGAGCCCTGGAATGGCGAGGACTGCACCGAACCGGTGCATTCTCTGCCTCAGACCGGCAAAGCTTTCGGCACCGAGGCGCGGCGCTCAAGTATCCACGCAAACTTTGATCGCACGGCTTTTTGAAACGCGAGTTTTTATTCTGTCTTGCAAGGAAAGCCAAAACAAAGGAGTGCCAACAGAACTTCCATAGAAACTCTGGTCTCACCAGCAGGTGGTAGAAGCTTTAACAGAACCGCACATAGAAGGTTCAATCAGCGCGCCAGCTGCAAATTAGGATGTTCAGTCCAGGATTTGAGGATTTGGAATTTACGGTATGGGCTTAAAGTTCAGCGAGCCATAATGTATCCCTGAGAACATGCGGTAGAGATGTGGACATGGTAGCGCTCTTCAAATTCCGTCGAAAACTCGTATGGGCCTACTCATCTTGGCTTCGGATTGTAGGCGCGGAGACATTCCCAACAACAACTCCTTTAGCCCCCAGCAACGAACCTGCCCAACTTTTTCGGGTTCAGGTTTGCAGAATGCCTATTTTTACGGCCAGATTGAGAAGAACAGTGAACAACAACAAGTCAAAGGTGTATTACTTGATTAGGGGATTTGTTGTGCTGTGCTGAAACGTTCACTTGTCTCTGGGAAGGCCTCCGAATTGACAACCGTGGAGCATGCCTTCATGCCGGATGCCTCAGGTTGTCCTGTGCTTCCCTCTCGTCTTTACGCTGCTTCGTAACCTTTTGTCATCACCCTACCCATAGGCCCCATAGTAGTTCCTTTTTGGGGGTCATGTTTTGAGTCCTATAAGGTAATCCCCAAAAGGAACTACCATGGGGCCTATGGGTAGGCCCTACACCCACATGCTTCTGGTCATAGACTTCTTAACTCTTCGAGTCGTGCCCGCACGCTCAACCTAAGCACCTAAGACCTGGGACCGTGATCTCGTCTATGGTTTCGGGTTCAGGGTTTAGGGTTTAGGGTTTAGGGTTTAGGGTTTAGGGTGTAGGGTTTAGGGTTTCGGATTCAGGGTTTGTGGTCAACCTTTTGGGGTTGGGCCTAAGTGAGATAAATGGTTCAGAAGTCTGCAGCTGGATTTAACCCCGACCCCGAAGCCGAGCCCAAGCATTTGCCAAAATTTCAATCCTAAAACTCAACAAAGACAAAAGACGATCATTTGTGATGTAGCCCCAACAGGGAACCAGTT